CGAGACCTCATCTCTACAATAAATAAAAAAATTAGCCAGGCATGGTAGTGCGCGCCTGTAGTTCCGGCTACTTGGAAGGCTGAGGCGGAAGGACCGCTGGAGCCCAGCAGGTCGAGGCTGCGGTGGCCGGGAGCGGCCACTGCACTCCAGTGTGGGCGACAGAGTGAAACTCCAACTCAAAAAAAAAAAAAAGAAAAGAAAAGAAACAGGCAGTGACTGCTAAATTGTTCAGGCTGCCTTGAGAGAGAGTGAGCTCCCCACCAACAAAGTGGGAACAGGAGCCCAACAGGGATTCCAGAGCAGAGGGTGGAGCAGGATTCCTGTCTGGGGCGGAGTCCAGCTATAGCTTTGCAAGGCCAGAATTCTGTGTGAACAGCTGCTATCACTGAGAGCTAACCAGCCACAGGGGACAACCAAAACATATACTCTGGGGACCTGTCACTTCCAGACAGTGCCCGCTACTACATTTACCCATTGGCTTCACCGCCTTCTGGTCCCAGGTCTGCCTTCCCTGGGCACTTGGAGATCTTCAGGCCAGGTCCACATCTGGGTACCATCTGCACCTGGAGCCTTGCACAGGACCCTTCCTCCTGGCACAGTCCTTGAACACTAAGCTAAAGAAGGAAGATGGTGAGATGGTTAGAACCTGGGCCTGTGGGAAGGCCTCTGGGAAAAGCTCAGAAGTTGAGGAGGGAATTGTAGGTGGACCTGTTGTGACCCTGGCCTCCTCTCTAGTGTTTCTGATGTCACCTTGTTCAACTCCTTTCGGAGCCTGGATTGCTTGGCAGGAAGGCTGTGGGAGTCCTGTGGTTCAGGCTGAGTGTCCCAGTGAGAAATGCAGCTAAAATAGCGTTCCCTCTGAGGCCTTGGGAGAGCTTGGGTGAGAAGAGAGGCATTGAAGGATGGCGAAGGGATGTGGCTTTGGTCTAACGGTGCTTCTTTTGCAGAGGAGTCCCGCCTACCAAGGCCATGGAGGTGGAGGCCGCGGAGGCCCGGTCCCCAGCTCCAGGCTACAAGCGCTCCGGCCGCCGCTACAAGTGCCTGTCTTGTACCAAGACATTTCCAAATGCGCCCCGGGCTGCACGCCATGCTGCCACACACGGGCCTGCAGACTGCTCAGAGGAGGTGACCGAGAAGCCAAAGCCAGAGACAGAACCCAAGACGGAGGAAGCCAGTGGGGACAAGGTGTCGGGTTCCGCGGCGAAGCCCAGGCCTTACGCGTGCCCGCTGTGCCCCAAGGCCTACAAGACGGCACCCGAGCTGCGCAGCCACGGGCGCAGCCACACCGGAGAGAAGCCCTTCCCGTGCCCCGAGTGCGGCCGCCGCTTCATGCAGCCCGTGTGCCTGCGCGTGCACCTGGCCTCGCACGCGGGCGAGCTGCCCTTCCGCTGCGCGCACTGCCCCAAGGCTTACGGCGCGCTCTCCAAGCTCAAGATCCACCAGCGCGGCCACACGGGCGAGCGGCCCTACGCCTGCGCCGACTGCGGCAAGAGCTTCGCCGACCCTTCGGTGTTCCGCAAGCACCGGCGCACTCACGCAGGTCTGCGGCCCTACGGCTGCGAGCGCTGCGGCAAGGCCTACGCCGAGCTCAAGGACCTCCGCAACCACGAGCGGTAAGGGCGCCTTCCCGGGCCGGGCTTTGAGTCCAGAGTGGGTTGAACCGACGGGAAGGTGGCGGGAGCCGGTCTGCAGAGAGGCGCTGGGCACGTGGGAGTTGGTGCCGCCGGCTGTGCAGGGGTGAGGCGGGGGATGGGGCCCTGAGATAGCCCTGGGAGAGGGGCCAGAGGGGCCTAGGTTCCTGGACCGCAGGAGAGGGGGCAGGGCTTGAAGTGGGGTCACTCAGAGGGTCTTGGTGGAGCCCACGAGGGGTGGGCGGGGCCTGGCCTGTCTAGGTCTTTGGCGTGCGGAGATGGGTGTTTGGAATCGAGACGCCCTGCCTGCCTGAAGGTTTTTTACTCTTGGGCGCAGCTTTGTGGCCCTTGGGGATTGAGCCCAGGTCGCCAGGGATGTTTCGGAGACCCTGAATTACCGCCCAGACAGGCAGCGTGGTCAGTTCACGAGTCCGTCACCCTCACGCCGGGTCCTCCACACTCCCACAGGTCCCACACTGGAGAGCGCCCCTTCCTCTGCTCCGAGTGCGGGAAGAGCTTTTCCCGCTCGTCCTCGCTCACGTGCCACCAGCGCATCCACGCGGCGCAGAAGCCTTACCGCTGTCCAGCCTGTGGCAAGGGCTTCACGCAGCTCAGCTCCTACCAGAGCCACGAGCGCACGCACTCGGGTGAGAAGCCCTTCTTGTGCCCGCGCTGCGGCCGCATGTTCTCCGACCCCTCGAGCTTCCGGCGCCACCAGCGGGCACACGAGGGCGTGAAGCCTTACCGCTGCGAGAAGTGCGGCAAGGACTTCCGACAGCCGGCCGACCTGGCCATGCACCGGCGGGTGCACACGGGCGACCGGCCGTTCAAGTGCCTGCAGTGCGACAAGACGTTCGTGGCGTCCTGGGACCTCAAGCGGCACGCGTTGGTGCACTCCGGCCAGCGGCCCTTCCGCTGCGAGGAGTGCGGGCGAGCCTTCGCCGAGCGCGCCAGCCTCACGAAGCACAGCCGGGTGCACTCGGGCGAGCGCCCCTTCCACTGTAACGCCTGCGGGAAGTCCTTCGTGGTGTCCTCCAGCCTGAGGAAGCACGAGCGGACCCATCGAAGCAGCGAGGCCGCAGGGGCTCCCCAACAGCAGGAGCTGGTCGTGGGCCTGGCGCTGCCTGTGGGTGTGGCGGGCGAGGGCTCCGCCGCCCCGGCCGCAGGCGCAGGGCTGGGGGATCCTCCGGCGGGGCTGCTGGGGCTGCCCCCCGAGGCAGGCGGCGTGATGGCCACACAGTGGCAAGTGGTGGGCATGACGGTGGAGCACGTGGAGTGCCAGGATGCCGGTGTTGGGGAGGCTCCTGGTCCCCTGGGGGGGGCGGGCGAGGTTGGCGGGGAGGAGGCTGATGAGAAGCCACCACAGTTTGTGTGCCGCGAGTGCAAGGAGACCTTCGCCACGCTGACGTTGCTGCGTCGGCACGAGCGCTCACACCCGGAGCTTCGGCCCTTTCCCTGCACCCAGTGCGGCAAGAGCTTCTCAGACCGGGCTGGGCTGCGCAAGCACAGCCGCACCCACAGCTCTGTGCGCCCCTACACCTGTCCCCACTGCCCTAAGGCCTTCTTGAGCGCCAGTGACCTGCGCAAGCACGAACGCACCCACCCTGTGCCCATGGGAACCCCCACGCCCCTGGAGCCCCTCGTGGCTTTGCTAGGAATGCCTGAAGAGGGGCCCGCCTGAAGCCCATTCCCTCCTCCACCACAATCCAAGAGGCGGGTCCCCACAGGGTGCCCCCTGAATCTCCTCTTGCCCCATCTCACTCTTTAGACTCCAGATCCCTGCCCCTAGACAACTAGCTCACCCGTCGCCCAGCCAGAAGAATTGGGACACTGGAGACTGGCAGCTGCTGTGAGAGACACGATTCTCTCCGAGCAACACTCATTAAAGCTTTCACTTTGGCACTGGTTTGTCTTCTGTGTTCTGATTGGGGGGTGAGTGGGTGGAGACTCCCTGGATACACAGGTTAGAAACGACAGGAGTCTTTGGATACATTGTTTTCCAAAGTATGTTTCTGGATGTCTTGTAACAAAAGGTTCCATGGCCAGGTAAGTACAGGAAATTTCCTGTGGCCTTCTTGGGAATTCTTGGGGGATACAAAGTGTATCACAGGCATTGATAAGTCCTGCAATGAAAAAATCTATTTAGTTTTGTTTAGCTCAATACTTACTTGACCATGGAAACATTTTACTGAGTAGTCCTATTGTATCCTTTTTTTTTTTTTTTTTGAGTCAGAGTCTCACTCTGTGCCCAGGCTGGAGTGCAGTGGCAGGCTCATAGCCCCCGCAGCCTCGACCTCCTAGGCTCAGGCAATCCTTCCACCTCAGCCTTCCAAGTAGCTGGGACTACAGGTGTGCACTACCATGCCTGGCTAATTTTTTGATTTATTGTAGAGATGAGGTTTCACCAAGTTGCACAAGCTGGTCTCAAACCCTCGACCTCCCAAAGAGCTGGGATTATAGGCGTGAGCCACCGTGACTGACCTTGTATCCTTTTATAAATAATAGGCTGAGGACAAAAATTAGTTTTTCTCATGTATACTGAAATAAAAAATTAGAAAGTATACTTGGTATACTTCTGATTTGAGTGCCAGTGACCTGCGCAAGCATGAACACACCCACCATGTGCCCATGGGGAACCCCATGCTGGAGTGCAGTGGCACACTCACAGCCACTGCAGCCTTGACCTGCTGGACTCAGGTGATCTGCCTTAGCCTTCCACGTAGCTGGAACTACAGGCACACGCCACCATACCCGGCTAATTTTTGATTTATTGTGGAGATGAGGACTCACCAAGTTGCCCAGGCAGGTCTCAAACCCATGGGCTCAGGCAATCCTCTTATCTCAGACATCCAAAATACTGGGATTATAGGCATGAGCCACCACATCCGACCTATTTTTTTATTTATTGTAGAGATGAGGTCTCACCATGGCTGGTCTCAAACTCCTGGGCTCAGGCAATCCTCTCACCTCAATCTGCCAAAGTGCTGGAATAACAGGAGTGAGCCACCGTGCTAGCCTAAAGGATTTTTTAATGGAACATAAAAATCCAAAGTCCGTATGCAATTCAATTTTTTTTTTTTTTTTTGAGTTGGAGTCTCACTCGGTTGCCCAAACTGGAGTGCAGTGGC